GAACTCGAAGAGGGTAATTTGTCTCTTGCAAGGCTTGGACTCTCTGCAAATGGTATGGGTGTAACCATTTTCATGCAATACTCTCCAAACGGTGGAATGACTCAGCTGTAGACGACGTGCAATAGCTCCTATACTTGTCTGAGGTGATTCATGCACAATGTTCAAGATTGATTCTTCAATGCGAGGTTGTCGTGCACTTCTTCCGCTTTTAGTGTCAGAGGTGGCTTCAAATGACCCGTTTTCACACAGAAAACCGATGCAACCTCTCGAACATTGTGTGCTTCGGCATACGCTTGTTCGGAAACCGTTCCTGGTACAACCGTAGCGCTGCTCTGCCATTCCAACTCACCCATCACGCTCGACATCAGAGTTGCGAATGATCCTCTGATGCATCGGATCGGGGATTGTCCGACTCACTATAGCCCTCTACCACTGCATTGCCAGCCAATCACAGCTGTAATTCCTATTACTGTCAGTGTTCCCTTTTTTGAACATTTATTGTGAATACTGTATTGCTGCAAAGAAGCACTTTGCGTTGATTTTGTACATAAACCAATTTTCCTCTCGTGTTGTTTTTTTCTTGCGTTCCTGCCTTAACCCGTCACTTTAGACCCTACAAAAATGCATGTTTTAGTACGCTCCACCACCCCTCGAAGTTTGTCCCATGATCTATGAAACACCCTGTAGTATATATTGATTTATTAAAAGAATTTATTCTGTATAAATTGGTGTTTACTAATTATCTAAGAAACTAAAATTTAAAAAAGTACCTTTTTAAACTTTCTGTCTTTTTCAGCTAGTCATGTAGAGGAAAAGACAGAAATTTGTATTCTTGCATGTAGCTTTTCTTTCTTTTTGAATGAACTTAAGTTCACTGTAGTCGTCAAATGTTTCTTCTGCATACTTTTTCGTGTGTATTAGAACAATGGCGTCAAAGGCACACTGTATGCTAGCTGAATGCACGATCTAAAAGCAGCTGATGAGCCGAAATGTTATTTTTACCAAAATGAAAAGGCCTTTTTTTTAATGACAAAACTAAATTTTAAATTTTATTTACTAAATACATTCAAAAGTCGTTAATTCGGACACCCATAATCCGGAATGATCTATAATCCGGACCTCAAAGCTACAAACTTTCTGCGCATGCGTCGCGTTCACGCATGTGCACAGGCGTTTACGAGAGCGCATAAGACCCTTACGGCTGCGAATATGTTTGTGCGCATGCGCGTTTAATGTGTAACGGAGTTATACGCTAAGCTAAAGTTATCTAATTCAGTTAATGTTGCAGATTGCGTTGTTCCTTAATCTTCGAATTGGATCCGGCTTATTATTTTTGCAGACTGTTAGAGCAATTTTATAAAAGTAAGCTTGAACTTTCGATTATGTCAAATAGAATTTCCGATATATGTTTACTACAAAGCGAAAGTATGTTTTTGAAATCCGAAATCTGTTTATCAATTTCACGCTGCTCTGCGGCAGGGGGGGGAGGGGGGGGGCAGAAAACGTCATTATTAGATTATGATAGATTAGAAAGATTATGTCAAATAAAATTTCCGATATATATTTACTAATTTGTAATTTGTATCTACAAAGCGAAAGTATGTTTTGAAATCTGAAATCTGTTTATCAATTTCACGGGGCGGATTGGAAGTTAATCTGTCAGCACTATCCTTATCTTCAGGGCAGATGTTTTTATTTTATTTGGTTTATAATTCCGTACTAAGTGTAGTATTTTATCTCGATGTACTCCGTCTTTGATATGATTTAAATCTTCCTCGTCATTATATTTCGCTTCCGATAGTGAAGAAAGTGACCCAGAGGTTATTGAAAACGAAAACATTTCGATTGACAAATTAGTCGGTATTCTCAACACGCAATTATAGGACTTGAACAGCAGAACTTTGTAACTAAACAAGAAATTATGTCTGTTTAATAGAATTAAAGAGAAAGTATTATCACATGAAACGAAGCAACTTACATTGAAGGAAATGTTTAATAAAGTAAACAAATAAATATTAAGCTTTTTCTTTTTGTAAATTTTGATACCCTTTAGATCATAATTGTTCTTTATTTCATAAATTACGGTTTCATATTTTTAATTTTGTAATTTCTGCATGCCATCTTACCAGATTTAAACTGATGATCTATAATCCGGAAAAATCGATAATCCGGAATCGCCGAAGTCCCGAGGAGTCCGGATTAACGACTTTTGACTGTATTTATAAAATCATACATAAAATGTAAAAATAACGGTACGATTTATATATTTTCTGTTTGAAATCCGATGAATTGCTGATGGCTATACTTTGTAATTCAAACCGTACTGAGGAATAAAGATTATATTTTCAGACTGATATTTATTTCAAATAATTATAATGTGTTTAAACTACTAAATAACACACTTGAACTAAGAATAAACAAATTATGAAAACTTTCCAAGGGACAACTTGATAATAGATAATGGCAAAATCTTCTTTTTTTCTTTTATTTATTAAATTTTTCTTTGACGCGCAGAGAAAAATTATACATATATTTGAATGCAAATAATTATAAACTTCTTTATTTCTTGCAACTTTAAGCTACTTGCCATCAATAGCAGAGTAGACAACACATTTTGCTACTATTTTGCCTCGAATCTATTATTACAGAGAAAAAGTATCGGATTTTCCGCCAAAATCTCTACGAAATATTATGGGATTATTAAACAAGTGAATAAAACAACAGATGTTAAGGATGTCATTTCGCAGCCGCCTGCACCTCCAAAATACGGCAGATAGTGTACAGTTTGCGCCCGCAAAATTTACAGCCATAGATTAGCAACTCTTATATCTGGGAGTTACAGCACTTTTGTGTGAATCCTGGAAGATAGCATGCGCATCGTATGGCACTGTCTATTGCTTGAGTAGTATGATACAGAGCGGTGAGTATGTATGACCATTCGTAAGTAAAGTTTTAGAATAACAAGTGTGTTGAATGATTTTCCACATGCTTGTAATTCCTCATTTCAACATACTGGAAGGTTCCAACATATATTAACAAGCGCTTTGTACATGAGTTGCTTATCCTGTAGGAAGAGCAAAATTCCATAGCAGCAGTTGCCTGAAAATTAGAAAAAAAGTATCGAATTGTCACAGCTCTTTATATAGTTGGTACAATGGAGCAGAAAGTGGCACGAACTTGTCAGTATAACATATACAGGGTGGTCAAAATAAAACTCCTGGCATGTATAATTCTAACACTACATTTACCTTTAATGAACAAGAGAACTGCCACTTTCCACAAAATGTTGGAAATAGCTACCCTTGATGTCAATGAAGCAGAGTACTTCATTTATTAATCTGTGAAACACGTATAAAAACTCTTGATGAGGGATGACAGCAGCAATGCTTTCAGTGTTCTGCTATAGCGCTTCCAGAGCGTTGGAATTGAGTACATTCCACCCTACTTGCTCTGCAGGTAAAAATCATACGAAGAAAGATCGGATGATAGCAATAGCCAAGAGATTTTACTGCTTTTGCTGGCTTTGCTTTCCTAATTGAACACTTTATGAACTCGCAATAAGGCTGAAAGTGCGATGTGTCTTGTTGATAGCTATGTTGCTGAAAATATCTATAAAGGCTTTCGTCTTCTGTTCTTGTTCTCACCAATAACGCCGCAAATATCGCTCCAGGCTCATTAACATTTAGCCGTTTAGGTACATAACTTAGGACAGTCTGACACGTGGAAAATATGAGGACTAAGAAAGAGAAGAGGGAGGTGTAAAGATACCACAGGGCTTGCAGAAACAATAGGAGCAATGGAGAGGCATAAAACAGAGCAAAAGCGAGTCGTAACGTAAAAATCTTTCATCTTCTGTGAGTTGATCTTATTAAGGGATTAAGCTGATTTTGGAAATACCGGTGAGAATTAACTGTTTAGTAAAAAATCGTTTTATGATGCGGAAACTGGACATTGCACACCAAACATCATTCTCAAGGTTATGCAACGGCTATTGAGCGCACTGATGAGGATTTGTTGATGCATAATAGTGCTGAGTTTACATACTCGGACAGGCCTTGTCCGAAGAAACGAAAAGCTGAGGAACAGTAAGTCCTGCTTTCACTACATTTCACAGGTTTGTCAGCAACTTTTAACTCGGATATAACAGTACACCGCCAAGGTGACGTATATCCTAGGTCGAGCCATGCAGAATCCTAGTCAAAACAGAAAATTTATAGATATAAATATTCAGGTTTTTTTCTGATAATTTTCTCACAGGACGATCTCTTAATTCCCCTTGCTCAGATTTTGTCGGATTTGGTTTTAGACTGTCTTCAATATTTTCTGATGTTTGAGCTCTTTTTGGATAGTTACGGTTTTATTCGTCACAGAGCCCATTTTGCTCCATTCTATCACTAAGTTTCACATTGCATATTTTGCTGAAAGTTTTGCCAACATAGTTCCATTCTTAACCTTTTGAACTTTTCTTGTTGGAGATAGCCCAAATACTGTTCCTCAAAAGAATGAAAGCGTAAACTTTATGAGCATTTGTGGTTTTCACCCTTCCAACAATGTGAATACTTTTGTTTTATGTGTTTTGACACTTGTGCCTAAATGTTAAGAACAAAGTAACAAACTAAAAACAAAATGTAAGCTAACTACTAATATTTATTAGCTTTTGCCGCCTTTTTTTACATTAAAGTGATACTTGCAACATGAAATGTTAACACGCGTTTATTTTAAACAGATCTTACTGCGCAACGTCCTGGCAGAAACGTGCAGAAAAACTGGTAACAATGCGTAGAAAATGCATGTACGTCATGCTTCTGTTCTAATAACCTTATAAGCATATAAAATTTTCTCTAGGGTGATATGAATGGTCATGATAGATTACATATTTTTATCATACTGAACGAAATAAAAAGAAGGATTGTGGAACTTATTGTGTACATTTAAAAAAAATTCGCGAAATAAGGAAAATCATTAACATTATATGCGAATTTTCTAATCAAATGTTTGTAAACACTTATTTGACCGGTCATGGTAGGTTTAACGTTAATGCAATAATAGGAGTAAAAAGCCACATATGCCACTATTCCCCGAATGAAATTTATATGAGTTATAAAAAGAAGTTGCACTCGAAAGTTGTGCGGGTTGTTAAGGTGCAACGATTTCGAGGACTCTCTTCACCTTGAAATTACAGCCGGCATGAAAGGTTGCAATTTGATCGCTCTCTGCTTCATTCTAATATTCAAGATCAGTTATTTTCAATGCCTGAATTTCACCACTCCTGAAAATGAACGCCATTTTCATAGGTAAGTTATAATAATTTCATCTGCTATTTACTTTTTCTTTAGTACAAGTTTGTGATGACATTTGAATTCGGTTTTGACGCATTTCGAATGCGAATTCAGTTCACGCATTCTTAATTCCATGCATCAAATCACAGTTTAAAATTTGTGATTTTGAGTTCTTGTTTCGCAAATTAAAGCATTTTGTTCCAAATCCAATATATCTATATCTATATCTATATCTATATCTATATATATCTATATCTATATCTATATATATATATATATATATATATATATATTATGAGCTATTGGTCAGTTAAACTCAGTCAGATTTATGTTTTCGAAGTAAATTTAAATATTGAACAGCAAGTAAATCGAACATTATTCCTGATTAATCGAACGAAAAACGGTGCCTTTTCCATCTTTAAAAGTTTTTCTGACTTGTCTGAGATCCACCGCTTAAAATTCGAATTTTATTTTAAGATAATTCTTTGCATATTCCGTAATTTTACATTAAAGGAAATATATTTATTTAGTTTTGATTCCATTATAGGATATTAACGTTCTTTCTTATAGAACACCTTGAATTCATTAAACTGTTATATGTTAGATAGTTTGGGGGACAGTTTTCTCCCCATTTTCTTCTTCCTTTATTAAACATTTTCAGAAATGATCTGCCATGTTATATTCGAAACGTTCGTATATTTAAGCTAACGCAAAATTACATCCACTGTCGCAAACATTCGAATCTTGAAAATAGTTTATTAACGTGACAAGAAAATTATTTTGTGTACTTCATGTAATTTGAGTTTGAGCTTAAGTATAGAACTGAACTAATATGCAAACTTAATGTTAAAGTTTTGCGAATAGAAAAAACGAGAAATGTAGATAGAAAAATGCATAGTTTAATTTTCTCTTAGTTAAAAATTTCTTACTGCAGACTTTAAATAGAAATAGTCAAAATAACTAAATGAAGATGTATTTATTAAATTAAAATGGATTACTATAAGTAAGTAATTAATTGCTATGCGATAAACATTGGATTTTATAATTACTAAGCACGGGTTTTATAAGCACTTTTTAAATAAAGTTTTATTTAATTTGATAAAAACGTATTCGTCATCATTTAGGCATTTTTGAAACGCTTTTTTTACCTAAATGAGTGAACAAATTTATTCATGATAGTTAAAAATGTCATTATAAATCTTAAAATTTCGGAATTTGGTATATAGTTCCAAAATGATTTAGCTATTAGTTCAAGTTTCAAGATGAAATAGAACTTTTAATTCCCCCCCCCCTCTAATTTAAGCATGTAAACACTTTACCTTGAGAAAACTCAACACTGTATGTTGATTACACAAATGCAAATTTACGCTTTTAAGAATAGAAAACGGCAATTTAGATGACTTTTTCTTCTCAGCATAAACAAATTGTGCTGATTTTCGTCTCCACTAGAAGATAATACGTTAATACATTGCTATTAAGATTTTTTTATCTGAATTATATTTGAATTCTGCACCAATTTCTATTTAATTCAGATAAAATGCAAATTAAGGGAATATTTCATAATTAAATGTTTGGATACGGTTCTATTATCGTGACTGGATTCAAATATCGCCAAAAGTTGACGATCTGGCCGAAAATTCGAAGCATAAAAATAATCACCAAAATATTTAAATTACAATAAATTAAATACGATACGGTTAAGTTGAAAAAAAATCCAAGGGAAAAAATAATAACAAATATTCGTAAAATTAGAAATTTTAATGTAAATTAAACAACTTGCGAAAGGAAGCTGAAAAAAAAAGTAATTTTATTGTTTTTCGTGCACTTTTTTTCAGATTGAATAATTCCTCATTCCTGAGGAAACTGTGTGGAAGATATTTCATCGTTAGGCAAGTCCAAATTTTAAAATCCGTGGTATATACAATAATATTTAAACACAAGTGACCGCTACATCTTTGGAATTTGCATTCTTGTTGCCAAATTTGAAAAGACGTTCTTTTACTTTTTCTTGAAAAAGTTATCATTGTAACGACTTTAGAAGTAAACATTGGCGGCTTCATGTGAACCAATCCCTTGGCGAGTTTAGCAAAACATTTGGCAACGACTCCGATCCCGATAACAGAATAATACCAATGTTTGTATTTACATGTTTAAAACTTTAATTTGCGGCATTATAGCAATACCGTTGTTAAATCTTTTGATTTATATTATCAACATTTTATTGTTTTGTTTTAAATCTAATATTAATTTTGTAAATAATACTAGTATTTGAATTTCGCATCCTGATTTTGGAGTGAACTCATATCTTGAGAATGCATCTAAAGCTTTCTCTTAGAATACATACCGCTAGATCATACTGCTACTACATCACATTGGAAGCTGTAGTTTCATAAAGCGAAGCGCTCTTTTGTAATACTGTAATGTATAAACATGTCAGTAGTGAAAAACAAGTCGTCTTGATACACTGCTTGAGCTGGTTCCAATGAAAGTAGTTAGTCAAAGTCAAATTCTTCGATTTATTTGCTTTAATGGTCGTTTTAATTGCAAGATATATCCTGGCTGAAAATCAGTGCTTTTTTTTATTTGTTTGGGAGTGGCCGATTATATTAAGACGTTGACTTCTGGAAGTTTGACACGCCTTCAGTCACAGGCAGACGGGCTAAATGCATAGATAGTTTTCGAGTTTTTCTCCACGTGTAAAGTAATATGTGTAATGCAAGCAATGTAACGTGTAAAGTAATATGTGTAATGTGTCCTTAGTTCTCCACGAAAGTATCCCTTCCTTGACCTAGATATCCCTTGTGTACTCTAATAGCTTAGCCTAATCTTTCATCTATTTGGAGAAATTTCAGGGCTAATGATTTTATTACAGAAATTTTCAGTACTAAAATTAATTTCTTGATATCGGTGATTTTTTTTTAAGATGGATTACCGTTGCTGCGATTTTGAGTAACTTCGCTACATTTTAGTTGATCTTGAAATATATTGTTGGTTTTACTGGGAATTATCTTTGGCTGTCTTGGGGAACACTTTCTCTGTTCAGAGTGCTTTGAAGGCATCGCTTTCCTTTGGATATTTTGGACAAATTTTATAGCTGGAAACACGTTCACCTGCACAGAGGTCTCATAAAGCGAAGTATGGTGGGTTTATCTTTTTTTTTTTTTTCTAATTAGCAATTAAACGTCTTATGATTTTTAGTATTTCAGGCATCTTTCTTTATTAAGAAAGGCAGCTTGAATGTGTCCATATCTCTGAGATTTGAAACATTAAGTTTGCCTTGATTTAGGTTTAAAACTCTAAACAGGAATTTGTACCGAGAACGTGTTAGAGAGAACAGGGAAAATCGCTTTTTTTTTTTTTTTTTTTTTTTTTTGTCCATGCTAATGCCACGAAGGATACTGGCAACTTGATAATTTTATCATCTTTTCATGTCTTAAATTGTTTTACTTGAAAACTTGTATTCTACTCGTCGATCGATCGCACCGTACGACTCGAAGTTAGCCGTGCGTGCCATTTAACTAAACGCATTCACTCATTTTTTATTTCTGTGCAGTAACATAACACTTTGGCACTTATATCAGCTTATATTTCCTTGATGATTTTATTTTTTGGTACAAAGAATTTTTTGGCGGCAAAACAATTTTAATGACATTTCGGTAATCCTACCAAACTCTTGAATGACAGCTATAGCTTCTGATTTCGTTCGCAGCAAATTTATAAGCTATAACTTAATTGTTACATCATCTGTTTAATCCTTATCTGCCAAAGGAAAGAGAAAAGAAAAACAGTAAACGAAATGTATGTTCTACTGAATAATCAGACTATAGGCTGTACATGATTGTCGCCGGGAATGCCCCCTTTTACAGCGCTTCCCCGCCGAAAGTCCTCTCGAGCGGTTTGTGGTAGGGAAAAGGGATGGGAGACCGTCGTACCGTCACCACCTTCCTCCGGGAAGCTCTTCATCAAAACTGAGGGCAGAACTGAGCTACACCGTACTGCCACTTTCGTGGGCTTGGGCTAATGTTACTGTAAGACAAGTGAGGAGCTAAGTAACAGCAACAGCAGGTACTTGATAGACAGCAGGTCGATTGAGAAAAACTGGTAAATGTCGTCCACCATTACAAGTCAGAGATCAAACGGACAATGAACTGGAAATTTGCCTGGATGTGGCGGTTTAGTGGGCGAACTGGATGACGGTTTTTTCATATATCCGATTTCTGCTAGAAAGTTCTCTGCAAGAATATATCTCTTTCTCTCCTGAATTTTTCCATAGTTGAAAAGTCAAATTAAATCCTTTATCAGCAATTCTGTTTCTTTTGATGCTCTCATATCCAAGCTTCAAATTCCTCAGATAATGATTTATCAATCATGATGCATTTTTTATCTTCCTCTGTTTCATCAATTATTAAAAAAAATGCATGCTGGAAACATCTGTTTATTGTCTTCTGATACGTTGTTTCGGGATGATTGCTTCATCACTGCGTACGTTAGATACGTCGAACGGATTCCCGCACCGTTACGTTTGAAACCACAAACATGGAGACTTAAAAATCTATCGAGACGTTAGTGAAGAGGTAAGAGGAACCCAGGGTGCCCTGGGGGTCTCAATTAGTCAAAGCTCATCAGCTGCAGAAAGGTATAATCGTTGGACACTAGTAGTTCGACCCGGTTTCAAATTCTGGCGAGTGGGTTGGCTGTATTTGAGTTCTTGCGGCTTTTCCTGTTTGTGATATGAATCTCATCCGGTTTCTTTTAAAAAGTCTTTCACAGAGACTTTTTCTCCCTTAAGCAGATAGCCCTCCTACGCTTTCCCATATAACCCAAGTAATCTAACCTAATCTGATACAACCTTTGGTCAAAACTGCGATAAAGTTTTAACAGATAGACCGAGTGTTCTTTGTCTAAATTAAATAATCTAATAGAATAAACCTTACCAGCGGCCGAGCGTTGAAAGCCATTTAACACTGGTAGTTTGGTCTGGGGCTCGAGTCTCGACGAACGAGCTGGCTGCATGG